CACAAGTCTTAAAGTTGCCAAGGTTGGACACCCCTGATCTAAAGTAATAATAAATGAGCTATACCTGCAAATCAAATGGATTAGCTAACAATACTCTGCAGCTCATGTTCACATGTAGTAGAAAACCAGATTTAAAACAAATAGAACCATCATTTTTCATTCAGTTCCATGAACCCTTCCTTATTCTTAAAGTGGTTTCCAATCCTGACCTGTTCAGAAGCCCTCCCCGCATTGCTAGAAACTACAGAAGTGGCTTCTTTCATTGTTGAACCAAAGCAGAACAGCAACATTAGAAGAAAACACCCAAACGCCCAATTCTCTAGGCCGAACTATTGGTAAATACCTGTATTGTCTGTCTATGTTCTCGAAACACATTGACTCTCACAACTGCTTTGCTGAATTCAGGATTGAGAGACTGAATGATCTCATAATCCAAATGTTCCTGAAAACAGACATAACAATGGGACAATATGAAAAATGAATTAAATATTACCCATCCTAATAACTGACATACTTTACCTATTATGGTTGGTCGCACAGCCAGCCAGATGTTGAGGCTGGATTTGGCATTTTTAGCTACCTAATGAATCCTTCCCAGTGGCCTGAGAAAGGTGTTGTTTGATGGTGTTAAGAGGTACTGTCAAAGGATGGAAGCTGCCTGGAGTAAAGAGCAAAGTGACGTGGAACAGAATTTCACATCTTGGGAAATTTACAAATCACAAGCAGCCTATTCATGATGATGGGGTCTGCAATCTGGCACATCTGGAGACTGCTGGGCTTGAGAAGATCAAAAATCAGTGACATATACACGCCAGGCCAAGACAGGGAGGAGAGCCCAGTTGGTATAGTGGTTTATAGGCACTGGGCGACTGAAAACTCGAGGCCCACTTTGTGCACAAAGCAAATTGGGTGTCTGGGCCTCAGAGCCAGGACTCAAGATGCTGGCAGATCAGATCCCACTGAATGCTGCAACCTACTGATTCAACTTCACTGAATCCAATACGAATACCTTCCCAGGCCCCTTCTCAGCCAACACTGATCCTTCTTTAGTTAATATGGATGCCAAGAAGCCAGGCAACTTTGCTGGCCTGGGAATCCTACAACCACGGCAAAGTAAGTGCCTTGTGAGAAAGTGGAAAAGATCGCTCATTATCATGCCCCAAAAGTGCTTTTTCAAGAGGCAAATTGGACTTTCTGGTTTTTCTCTGAAGACATTTTGCTTCTCATCCAAGAAGCTTCTTCAGCTCATTATCATGCCTTATCTTTGGCAACTGCTGAGCAGGGAAAGCTTCAGCTGTGCACGCTCAGTGGGGAGAAGATTTCATCTGTGCAGGAACTGCCTTCCGTTGCTAGAAGCAATGATGGCATCCGGTTTTGCGATCAGCAAATTCTTCTTTTTGACTTCTGCTTCATTTTAACCTCTGCATGTTCCTGACCAAATTCTCTGAGTCATCCCCTGGTACTTTTCAAACTGTTGTGTGGTATTGGATTACTGACAATCTACTCGAGTTACACTTTCTCCTCAGCCTCTAGTAAGCTGTCTGTGCACAAACACTCTCATTCTCTTGCTTCCCCAACTCCTCCACTGTTGCTTCCCTCCATTTATCTGCTCCTATCTCTCCAAACAAGTCTTCCTGACATTTTCAGAAGTCAAGTTTTCTTTCTTCCTACAAGTTTTTTTTAATATGCTACTCCTAAATGCAGTGTTTGTATTCCCACCCAGAAACTTGACAAGCTCATCACCCACAAGCTCCCACAACCTGCCCAAATCTTGCTTGCCTACTGCATGAACATTTTCTCCATTTGCTAAAGCCAGGATGTGAAAACTGGGGGATTGACCTTGGGCTAATCACTCTCTCTCAACCCTTGGAAGAAGGTGGCAATGGGCAAGCCAATTCTGACAAAAGGTGCCAAGACAACTGCAGGGACTATAGTGCAGGCAGTTGCCTAAAGTCAAAAACTGATTTAAAGCCACACTTACCATAAAACAAACAAAACAAAGATGGGGTAAGAGAGAAATTGGCAGAAACATATGGCAGAGAAAACACTTGGCAAGCTGAGATACTCTAATGAAAATCATCTATCTCTTTTATGATCACTTGAAAAGAAGAGAATATCTGTACCTCAGGGTTGAACTGTGGAGTCCATGGTGCCCTCTCACCTTGGTTGTTTGTGGGCAGACATCTTTTTACCATATAATGAAATATCTGCAAGCAAACAGTCCAGCTCAGAGAGCACCAGGGCCTCCACAATATTGCTTCATCTTACCTGGTACTGTAGAGCATCAAAGCCTTTAAATACAAATTCAAAGAGGGTGTGAAGATTATCTGGACTTGGAGATGTGACAAAAATGTTGGAATAGCTGTAAAAAAGAAAAGACAAGAACAGATGCTACAACTTCCCCCCCACCCTCTATTATAATGTCAGAAACAATTTCTAGCGTATCCCCATTGAAACCAACGAAACAATTAAAAATATGACTTATGATACAGTGCCCCAATTGTTAAGAGACAGTAGAACAATGTTTCAAGTTTTGAAAAGGATGCACAGTTTTGTCCCGTAAAGAAAGTCAATCCAGGCTTTTCTTTGGAATGACAGATACAGAAGCTGAAGTTCAAATACTTTGGACACCAAATGAGAAGAGAGGACTCCTGTTTCTTTTTCCTTTTTCTTCCTTCCCCCTGGTGGTCAGGAAAGATTGAAGGCGAAAGGAAAGAAGAGGGGACGGCAGAGGATGAGATGGTTATCTCATCCTCTGCCATCCCCCCTTCTCTCCTTTCGCCTTCAATCTTTCCTGACATATTGGACAGTTGGCATGAGTTTGATCAGACTCGGGGAGACAGTAGAGGACAGGAAGGGCGTGGTGTGCTATGGTCCATGGGGTCATGAAGAGTCATACACAGCATAATGACTGAACAACAACATTATAGCCTGCCAGTTATTGTAACAATAATTCTCTTACAGCATATTTATGGCTATTGTTTTTCATATTTTTGGAGGAGGGTTGTTAGGATTTTTTATTTGAAAGGAAAAAATAATAATAATTACTTAACACTGTAGACTGACCACAATCTTTGGAGTGATATTTGAATGAACAAATGTGTATGTACAAATATACAATAGTGCAGAAGCAGCTCAGTGGCGCAACAAATCTGTCCTAATAACATGATTTAAGATTGTATGTGATGGACCACTGTGTCAAAACCTGATAAGGTACCCATTGTAAGCTACTATTTGCAAATTGAAATAAAATAATCCATAGATTGCATTCTACACCTCAGTGAAAACTTATACTACTGAAATTCACTTGTATTCCAGGCTGACAGTAATAAAATAAAATAAAATCTTAATTGTAGCAATTTGCTGAATGAGTAATTGGAATAAAATTGTCCAATAAAAAATCGGATTCAGATATGAACAGACAACATTAAGCTCTTCCTTAAAAGAAAAGTTTGAAATAAGTTGTGACTGTACACTACAGGTACATCCATGTTATTTTCTTGACACAAAACCTGAAGAGTTTGCTAGTACGTCCTTCTGAGAAGTTATGCCAGCTTCCCCGTCTCCCTGGAATTTCCTGGGGGTTTCCCACTAAATATTAACTAGGTCTGATACTACTTAATTACTGTATGCTAAGATCAGTCAAGGTTGGTTAGACGCTGCTACCTACTGGAGACCAAAGGGACAGTATCACTGACATGCATTATTGGAGTATATTACCTTTTTGCACTTGGCCAAAAGGAATGATATACAGCATATCAAAAGTAATTTCTGCTTTGAACTTTATAGCTATGTATCATGAATAGGCATGTCAGCAGTTGCTTTGTGATCAAAACCCCTCTTGGAATATCTAGGAAAAACTTACCCAAAAGCCACTGCTCCCGCTATTGCCAGTCCCAAAGCAGCCGACTTCCCACGCCCTCTAGCTGCTGTTAAAGCCACAGTGCTTCTCAGGGTCTTCTCAGAAATTGCTTCGATGAATTTGAGGACTCCTTTTGCCTGTCAGGGAGGAAAGAAGCCACCAAGACACAAGATCATGGATGGAGAAGGACATCAACGAGAACAGACATAAAGCAGGGAAAGAGAAAGTATTAATAGGAATTATACAACATTAATTTAATCCCAACATATTTTGGCTTTTCTAAACAGTCTGGATTCTGCAAAACTAATGGGGACATTATTATATCTGCATTATATCACGTATTTTATAATACAGATAAAAAGAGATGGTTTGGTGTAGTAATTGAGGAGCTGGCCTAGATACCAGAAGATTGTGAATCTGGGCCT